AAGAAAAGGAGAAAGTTAATGTTAATGGGTACAGAGGATTTGTTTGGGATGAGAAAGTTCTGGAGATGAATGGTGGTGATGGTTGTCAACTTAAAGGAAAAAAACTGAGGCGAAATCATAAGTAGGGTTTATTTGGGCCAAGACTGAGAAATACAGTGAGATTCTAGTAGCCCTAAATAAACGCTCCAACTAACAGCAGTTATGGGGCGTTTAAGGGAGGAAAGGAAGTTCTAAAGCCGACATGAGCTATTGATCAGCTATACCTTGTGTTTATATCTCAAATTCCCGGAACATGAAGATAATTGGTAAAGGTCACTGTACAACTTGTAACATTTTAGGTAATTTATCAGCTAGTCTGGAAACCACGGTGGGTAAAAGTATAAAATTCCTTTAAACAACCCCCCAGGCATGTGCATTTGAGCCGGGCTGGGTAGGGAAGTTATTCTCATGCTCGCGTGTCTCAGCCTAAAACATTTTGCTAAAGCTCATTCTTCAGACTGCTCAATCATTTTTCTTAGTTTCAAATATTTTCTAAAGTCAACTCTTGGGGGGGAAGCTAAGGCAGGTCATACAAAAGTAATTTAACAGTGGTTTTCTCAGATTGGACCTCAATCCTAAACAAAGTGGAAGACAATTTTCTAAAGTACCAAATTTTAAAAATTTTCAACCAACCATACTAGGATTGAACCATCTCTTGCTATAGAAAATATCTTGGAGTACGTAGTATGTAGCCATTTGGGGGAAAAAATGGGAAGTGGTGTGTAGGTCAACCAGTTAAGATAGTGTTACGTATTTGTGGTACTCATCAGCTTTTTTTAAAGGTGTAATTTGGTTTTTCACTGAGGAGTATTTATACCCATGCAATCATGATTTGTAGCCTTTTAAGCCCCAGATTGCATAAGCTTCAGTCTCAGAAAACCTGAATTGCAACCCTCACTAATTCTTAAACACCAGTGAGGTAAATAATGAATTACATGAAAGGAAGATCATGCAGGCACAGACTGCAGCACAGCAAGACTGCAGGGTCTGGGATCCCCCCCGCCCCCCCCAGGAATTGGTGTGGGCCCTTGTGATGAGAGTACCGGAATGAGAAAAGGTCTTGATATTTTGAAGTAACTCAGATCAGCTTCTTATTTTACTTATCTGTGTATATATTTTTAAATGCTTGCAATGCTGAAAATTTTCTTATTACAAGTTACAAGAAAGACAGGATGACATATTACTTGAAGAGAGATGGGGAATGGCCCAAAATGCAAGACTACTAATACTTAGAAACACTGGATTTCTATTTTAAGAGAAATGCCTAAAAGTTGGAAGTGTGGAGTGGGAAAAACTTTTAAAACAATGTCATGAACCGAAGTTAAAAGCACTTTAATTGCAGCTGCCTGCAACCTAACTTTATCTGGGTGTTTAATTTGTAAACTGAGGTTACATTTTTCTTAAGGTGAAGTTTTGTCACATTTGCATGAACAGTGTAAATTGCAGGCTAGGGACAAGGACCCCAGAGACACTGATGTCAATTATCTCCTGAGTGGGAGTACTAGCCATCGCCATGATGCAAGCTCTCCTGTGTAAGTCGCTGGATCTTTCTTAGCAGCCTGCATATAATGTAACTGCTGTCAACTTTGCATTAGTATTAGGCATTTACAGATTCAGGCTGGTCCGTTTCTAGATCTTCAAAGTATTCACCTATCACTGTATTCTAAATCTTACAATAGTTAGGGACTGACCCTTATCTTTCTGCCAACAACAAGACGTAATTCCATGCCTAATCCACTGTACCTTGTTTAAATTCGGACACTCCCTGCCTGCACTCTTCTGTTTCAGCTCAGAAAACAAGTTTGAAATACAGAATATAGAATAATGGATGCCTCTTGGTTCTCCACAGGTTCTCCACACTTACTACATAAAAGGAAATGCTGAACAACTGTTTACTACCTTAGTTCTGTAAGGTTTTTCTCTAAATATTCAGATCATCGTGTTTGGGGAAGATAGTGTGTAAGGTAAGTTTGCAGTCTTGATGCTGATCAATCGCAGGATGCTTTAGATTCTGGACTTACTAGAAAGTTGGTTCAAATCAAAACTGGAGAATGCTGAAGCTGATAGGTCTGACTTTGAACTGGAGATACTTGTGGATAGTGGGCTACTCTTAAATAATTTGATCCTGTTTCTTCTGTTACGGACTCAGTTATCTTTTGTGTACATCAGAACGTAGCAGATTACTTGGGAATTCTAGACAGATTTGTAATGATTCCAACAAAGTGTTTATTGCAACATATATTCACCTATACAATTTTAACATCTTTATAAAGAGAAGAGCTTATCTAATTTGTAGTATGCCACCTTCTTAGGTACCTCATAAGTATCTAAAAATGGTTTAGGAAGACCCTCCTTATCCTCCAAGAAACCATTGCCCCATACTTAGAAATTCCCAGAGGCTGATAGAACAGAATGTGAGTGGCTTGCCAGACATTCAGAAGCTTATCAATGAAGATAGGATTACAAACCCGGCTTTCTGATTAAAAATTGTTTAATGTTCACAATGCTACATAGCAAATGCCAAGAATAAAGTTTCAAGGGTAGGAATAGACAGGGGAAGAACTCAGTTCAACTTCTCTAGAGACTGAAGGTGATCATGCCCTTGGTCCGCTTCAAGACAATCTCTCGGCCTTAAAACTTCTTGACCGTTCTAAAGATTCCCCAAATTTGACCTTAATTTAGAAAATATTTTTTCCACAACTAGAAGTGACACTTCATGTGAAGAGACTTCTGGGGAGGAAACATAATGAATCTCATACAGAGAATTTAATGTCTTAGTCTGGGTCACCATTGCCCTGTTCTGTTCTCTCAAGATATTCTTTCTTATGCCTGTTGTCCTCATCTCCTGTCTAGCTTAGCCTTTTAGCACTCATATTCTGAGTTAGATGGTCACCAAGAATTGTTGCCAGTCTTTGATGCAGAGCAAGAGTCTGACAGAACAACATCAAAAATGAAAAAGTAGAAGAAAATTGGCTACCTGCTGTTGGATCTGCTATTTGAGAGAAACATATGGACAGCAGAGGGTGAGATCCCCAAAGTTAATTGTTGCTGCTATTACTATCTTAAGGCTAACCCTGGCACTCACTTAGTACCCACTTATACCAGAATTTACACACGCAACGAGGGTGTTCCCACATCCACAAGGAGAACTGTTGGAACTTAGGTCATTCCTGCTCATCACACTTGGATTTGTGCTTATTTGAACTACAATTAGATAAACTCACTGGCATGATCTTAAGGTACAAATTCATTGATCTCATAAACCAATAGTTGCATAATTTTTAATGTCTAGACCAAAGATTTTAAATGCATAAAAATATGCATTTTAAAAATTCAAGTAAAATTGTACAAATCACATACCTGGATGGAAAATATTTTTCAAATTCGGCATACAGAATGATAAATGTCTTTAAATATTTCAAAACTTTTTGGCCTAAACATCAAAGTTACAATTATAAGTAACTTTTGGGGGCAAAATAGCTGCACTAAATAGTACATCAGAATATTACTAATTATTAATGTTCTTGTTCTATAGAAAACACTAATTTTAACAAATCACCTATATAGAAACGGTCATGAAAAATCAATAGACAAAAATATATGTTCAACTTAGTAATCAAAGAAATCCCTATTAACGTGAGTTGAGATACTAGTGCTAAACACGGGCAAGCACGATGCAGCCACCAAGTGTGCTCTGTTACTGTTAAGCATCTAACGATCTGGTTGATGGGCTTCTAAAGCATCGTACACTTCTCCATGAACTACGCCGGAGAATCAACCTCACAATATTGTATATTATAAGCAAACTTGGTTTACGTTCATGTTTCTAAGTTGAGTGTCATTATTCAATCATAGCAATAGTCTATATAAAGACTACGTGGGAAAGGTGCTAAATATTAAGTATATATAAAATTAGAAGTTTACCAAAGCTTGAAATTATACATAGACATAAAAAGTTATTACATGGGGGCATGGAGTAACCCAGTTGATTCCTTTTTTCTTTCCCAAGTATTAAATGTTATACTGGGTAATTTTTAAAATACAGAGAATGAATCAACACTGACAGAGTGGAAGATGGTTTTAAAATCTGAGTGGTTACGGAGCCACTCGCATCTCCCCTTTCCCTTTGTGAAGAAAGCTGGGGAGATCCCTGGGGTCTCTAACAAGTTTCAGGGCCAGGAGTATTCGTGGTCAGGGTTTGGGACACAGCTGTCCTGATAAGCATATTTTTGGACCCATTTTTTTCTCTTGGGCTGTAATATTCCCAGTGGACCAATAGCAGTCACTGTGGCTGGTCTCCAGTAGGTTCCACCATTCTCTGAATTTACTGTGAAATAACGAGCATAGCCCTCCAAGGATCTTGTTCTTAAATTGTGGACAACCAGGTCTGGGTGAGCATTTACCTTTCCATCATACGACTTGCTGCTAAATGTTTGCCTTTAATTTCTCCAATGGTTTAACACAGTTTAAAAATAAATAAAATAAATAAATAAAACAGCTGGTGGAAAGCTCTGGCACAAAGCTGGTAACATTTCAAGAATGAGAACTGAGAAATGCATAAGGATATCATGTGGGTGTCATCAGTAAAAATCTGGCTGAGAATTTAGTTTTCATCATTTTCCATCCGTCCATTGTGGCCTGGTTGTGGTGGAATGTACCGAGGGGCCCTGGTGTGAATTTCCTGTCTACCAGCTAGTGGGCTGCAGCTTCCATTTTTATTGTCCTTTGTTTACATACCAAATAAGTCAAAACTGCAGAGGTCTTAAAATCATTCTGAAAGTGCACCTGTGGTCACACATACTGCATATGTTCATGTGCCTTGATTCTAGGCTCTCTGAAGACAGATGATGTCTTATATTCTTTCAAGTCCTTTTTGGAATATCAAACTTTGGCTTACCCAGTGTGCCTCTTGGGAAACGTTTGTGGGAGGAATGAATTGATGTCTTTGTCCTGTTGAACAGCATAGAACAATTACACCGTCACTGTTTGAAGAGAACCATGTTCCTCTGGGGAAGTTTCCTTAAGCCTCGTTTTCAACTGTAGAATGGTCTAGTATCTTATAAGGTTGTTCAGAAATGTAAAACTTATGAATCAGTTATTACTATTCGCAGGTGAATGCACATACAAGTAGACGTTTTTCTAATTTGGTATCACACCTAAATTTCTTGGCTCAATTCTAATTTGGGTTGTTTAATTCTAGAGAACTTGTTTGGATGAAGGTATTTGGAGCTGTCATATTCTCAGAAAGGGATGATACCTCTAGACCAGTGCTGTCTAGTAGAAATCCTAGGGGAGCCACAGAGATAATTCTAAATTTTCTAGTAACCACATTAAAAATAGGTGAAAATTTTAATCTAGATCCAAATGTATCTAAAATACTTACCACATAATCAACAAAGTTTTAAGGAGCTGTGCTGCATGTATTTTTAACAAGATTTGGAATTCTTAATGTAACTTGTACTGATGGCACATCTTGACTTGGAGCATCATGTCTCGGGCTCCACACTGGACAGTGCAGCTCCGTACGATGCAGAGAAGCTATCTACATAATTCATGTGTCCCTAAATGGGTAAGATATTAACTGATATGGATATACATGCATAATCTAACTTCGAGTTTGAGATCCCTTTTGGGATACACTATCTCTAATATTCATAAAATGTTATACTACCATTTAACTTAATTGTTAACGAGTCGTATGTTAACCAGTAGTTTTCTGCTGCAAGAAGGAAAGCAAACACTGCTTGACCCTAAACATTTTCTCCCGTGAATTTCTTCCTATGAATTTTCGGATGACTTCTCAGAATTCAGCTCTTTTTGTTCAACACAGGCTCATTTTCAAATATGCTGCCTGATAGAAGTTGAGCACTCGCATTTGACAATGTACAAACGTGTCCAGAATGGTAGAAATTAGGTCAGATCAATGCAGTTATTCAATAGGCAACACATATACTCTTGGTGATATTCAAACTGAGAACTTGAGTCTAGTATAAGGAGAGCAGTCTAGGACAGGGGCAATCCTCCTTTCCTCCCACCACCCTCTCCTATTCAATCAGGCTGGTTCCTTAAGTGCATCCCCCCGATGTAAGGTGGTACTCGAAAGATAGAAGTGAATGTGGTCATGAACAGAAAGATTGTTTCATCATGAACTCTAAATAGTAGTCACCAAATCAAGAAAATCATCCTGAACTATGATATGAGATTGAGCAGGATTGTGCTACGGCAGCTCTCAGGAAATTATGAGCTTCAGGAAGATGACTTGACCTTGGTTTGTTCATGACTGCTTCATAATGTTTTAGGTAAATCGGACACCTTTCCCAACCTAACCGATATGTCTCTCTTGTGTACCCTACAGAGCTATGGAGCGGGGCAATTATTCCGTGTATGCCGACTTCATCCTCTTGGGTTTGTTCAGCAACGCCCGTTTCCCCTGGCTTCTCTTTGCCCTCGTTCTCCTGGTCTTTGTGACCTCTGTAGCCAGCAACATGGCCATGATCATTCTCATCCACACAGACTCCCGCCTCCACACCCCCATGTACTTCCTGCTCAGCCAGCTCTCCCTCATGGACATCCTGTACATTTCCACCATTGTGCCCAAAATGCTGGTGGACCAGGTGATGAGCCAGAGAGCCATTTCCTTTGCAGGATGCACTGCCCAACACTTCCTCTACCTGACCTTAGCAGGGGCTGAGTTCTTCCTCCTAGGACTCATGTCCTATGATTGCTACATAGCCGTCTGCAACCCTCTCCGCTACCCTGTCCTCATGAGCCGTAGGGTCTGCTGGTTGGTTGTGGCGGCAGCCTGGCTGGGAGGGTCTGTGGATGGTTTCCTGCTCACCCCCGTCACCATGCAGTTCCCCTTCTGTGCCTCTCGGGAGATCAACCACTTCTTCTGTGAGGTCCCTGCCCTTCTGAAGCTCTCCTGCACGGACACGTCGGCCTACGAGACAGCCATGTATGTCTGCTGCATTATGATGCTCCTCATCCCTTTCTCTGTCATCTCAGCCTCGTACACAAGAATTCTCATGACTGTTTATAGGATGAGTGAGGCAGAGGGGAGGCGAAAGGCTGTGGCCACCTGCTCCTCACACATGGTGGTTGTGGGCCTCTTCTATGGGGCTGCCATGTACACATACGTGCTGCCTCACTCTTACCACACCCCTGAGCAGGACAAAGCTGTGTCTGCCTTCTACACCATCCTCACTCCCATGCTCAACCCACTCATTTATAGCCTTAGGAACAAGGATGTCACAGGGGCCCTACAGAAGGTGGTGGGGAGGTGTGTGTCCTCAGGAAAGGTAACCACTTTCTAAAGAAACTGCAATATGCTGCTAGAGATTTGAAATGAAGGATACAAGACTGTTGTTGCCCTTGAACTTAAATATTCTCTGCCTGGAAACAAGTCGCCCCCATGCCAGCAACTGTGGGGCATTTATGAGGTTTGGAAAGCTGCCTGGGATTTTAAGGATTTCATTTTTGAAAGGAATGAAGGTTCTGAACGATGAACAGTCTGGGATGGCGTAGGCATAAAGCTGGGGTTTAGTAGTCGCCCATCAGCTTTTAACAAGGTTGTGCATTCCAGTAAAAATCACGGAGTAGCCTGTTTCTGGCTCCGCTCAGTCACGACAAAAACGGTCGTCTTCAGCTGCTTCCCTGACTTCTCCCGACTTATCCCCTTTAGACACTGTCCACTGACCATTATAAAGAATCAACTCATCAAATATCATATTTCAAAGATAGCAGTCACCATCTTATCCTCAGGCTGTGTTCTAAGACTCCCGGGGGAAGCCTGAAACTATAAGCATAGAACCTGATGTCGGTCACAACACATATTTGCTCATCTTCTACCATAAATGTAATGCGTTTTTTTCTTACCTAAACACTTATCACACACCATGGCTATAAGTTTTGCTGTTTGAGGTGTGACAGCAAAATTACCACAAATGTTTTTTCCTTCTACACAAGTTCAAAGATAGAAGATGATTCTTACTGTAGATCTCAGCAACCTCAGCATATAACTTTTTTTCTTGCCAGAACCTCCAGTTAAGAACTTATTGGAATGTGTCTGATAAGGGTTGGCTGTGTCCCCACCCAAATATCATCTTGAATTCTAGCTCCTATAATCCCCATATAGTGCAAGGGGCCTGGTGGGAGGTAATTGAATCCTGGGGGGGAGGGTTTCCCATACTGTTCTCATGAATAAGTCTCATAAGATCTGATGGTTTTACTAAGGGCTGTTCCCCTGCACATGCCTCTTGCCTGCCGCCATGTAAGACATGCCTTTGCTTCTCCTTCACTTTCCAGCATGGTTGAGGCCTCCACAGCCATGTGGAACTCAGCCCATTTAACCTTTTTCTTTATAAATTACCCAGTCTTGGGTATTTTATAGCAGTGTGAAAATGGATTGTCTGTTTTTCAGACATGAGCAGAGGGCCAATATCTTTAGAAATGTAGAAAGAACTTAAAAATTCTTTATAGTAACTAGCAGGGTTTTTCCAAATAGATTCACCCTAAATGTCAAGTGGCACTTCAGAGTGGAGTGAGTTGAGCAGGCAGAATTATTTGCAAATAGAGAATCTAAACTCCAAACTGTGGGAGTCGCTCTCAGCCTGTAGCAACAAAGTCTATACCTACTGATATAAAAAGATTACTTCTTGAAAAGTTGAAGGAAGAGAAGCGAAAAATGAAAACATGAAAAGGAAGATTGAGATGCCACAAAATACCTTCTATAGAAATAATGTAGACTATTTTCACAAGGTAACTAAATTCAACACTAGACAAAAAACATTGTGACGTAAGTTAGAAACTAATACCAATCAATACCTTGTTCACAGGTCTTATTTTTCCTTAGGTTGGGCTTGTATTAACTTTCCTAATTGATACAGCAGCACTTCTCAAACACTTTCATGACAACTGTAAAAAGTTTTATGGCACATTGAGGAAAACTGGCTGTTGACAGCAAAATCAACTCCCCTGTGGTTATAGCCAAATCGGGCACTGAGACCAATCCAGGGTTGTAGAGGATCAATATTGATCATAACCCATTAGTGGCTCTGTAGAAAGACACATCACACTAGAGGGAAGAGTATCCAATCAATCCAATAGCTACTTGGAGAACTTTATGGATGACATAAAAATTTTTAGGAAGAATTATTGAATCACATTCTAAAGGCTGAAGAGGTGTACAGGGTTTTCTGTTTATCTGTAACATTAGGAGGACATAAGGAATAAGGTATGTGTCTAATGGATTTGTGATGACTAGAAATGATCATGTGCCCATTAGCTGACTTAAATCATGAAAAGCACTCAGTGTTGTTACTCTTATGGAAGTTGTTCTGCTCCCCAAACAAGACCACTTTTCCCCATTAGAGAAACAAATGTTAGGAAGTTCAATTTTCCTAATCTTTAAATATCTTGATATACTCTCGTGAAAAATTTTAGAAAACGTATAACTTGTTTTACCCTCACTTTTCTCTACCCATTGCATCCTTTTCCTCATTCTTCTAGTTTCTCATGTCTCCTTTATTCCTACTGAATTCAACGTTCTTCTGTACTATGCATAAGACAAATTAATTCTGAAGAACACTTAACCTGTGTGACAAATACCACTTTTGTGAAAATAGAAGGTAGGAGAAAGTAGAAGGAAAATAACTCTTGGGACCCAAACTCGGCCAAAGGAAAAAGTCAAGCTTGGGAACTGTCATGCAAAAAACTATTTCATATTGTTCCTGACTGGATAGCTACAGATTCCGTACTGTTCCCAAATGGATAGCTACTCAGGTAGAAGGCTACATACTTCCCCAAGGAACCTCCCTCACAATTTGCTCCCAAGGAAATTCCTTGCCGGCCCAAAGATCTTGACCCTTAAAACCATTCTGTTGAATGTTGTGCTGACAATGTAAATGAACGGCTTATCTTCAGAGGCAGTGGACAGACAGGCCTGGGGGTCATCCCTCCACTTCCCTGAAAGAAATGCGTATTTGACTCTTGCCTCTGTGTCCCTTTTTATATACAAATCCAGATTGAGCAGGAGATGAATGCCCAGCTGACTGTTCCTCTAAACCCTCTCCTTTCACATCTAAAGTGGGAATTCAGTGAACACTGATCAAAGCCTTGAAAGAAGGCAACCACTTACTCCATTTACCCACACTTCCCCCCCTTTTTTTCCTCAAATGTCCACTGTTTCCCTTTTAAATACTGAAGTCTCCCAACCCTCTTTGGAAGAAGCACAAATCTCAGATGCTCCTGTCATTTTATGTTCCTTTTTCCCAGGTGCATCCTCAACCTTGGCACCAGAAACCTTTACACTGAGACTTGGCTCCAATGCTCTTTGGTTCACACTTTTATTTACAACTTTAAATATTTCTCCCCAAACAAAATAGGCCAGTGACTTTTGAGAAAACAGGTTTTTTAAATAAATTTTAAAATTTTTGATTTAGAGCCGGGGGTCTTGTCCCCAGATAACTTCTCAAAATCTCTCTGGAGAGATGCCAAGATTCAGTAAGACATTTTCATGATGAAATAGCAAGAAACAATTCCAGTCCTTCACTCGGGAAAACAATGCACCCTCTGCAAGAAAGGATGGGCTGCTTCTAAAATTCATGGTAAACCCAGTCAACCTGGATTAATTGCTAACCCAGAAATTCTTCCTGGGAGATGTGGGAATCTATTAGTGAAAAGACTTTCTGACCTAGCCTCACCCCCACACACATGTATTTAAGAGGTCTGACTTTCCACTGCTGCTTTAGAAAGACTTGGACCCAGCTTATCTGAGGTAGGATCTTAGATTTCATGAAAAACAGAATATTTACCCAGATATTGGGATGTTTTCTTTAGGTGTTACTCTGTAACTGTTAGAAGGCCACCTTACTGTGAGCTTATCGGCTGATGACTTGAGGCAGTGGTCCTTCTCAGGATCAAGAAGCACAAATGCATATATTCAATAATCGGCAAGCAGATGACTGAAAAAAAGGGCATTTAGCATGAAACGTGGGAAGCTAAGGGAAATCTAATAGTTTAGAAGAACATGAATAGATTTACTGGAGGAAAATGGCGTGTGAGAGCTGACAGCTGGAAGAAAGTTTCAGACTTTAACTGGTAGCAAGGGTGTATATTATTGGATAAGCATAGATTGCCCTCTGAATATTTTGTTAAAATTTTAATTTACATTTTAAATGACAATTGCTCCCTTTCATATGTATTTAGGTGTGGCTGAAGACTTTCTGCATGTTTGGAGGGAAATATTTTTTCCTTTTATTTCATTCTAACCTTCCTCTTCTATTTACCTTATAAGGCATCCACATGTGCCTAAGATAAAATCTTAAAAAAAAACCCAACATACTATTAAAGGGTATCCTAGAAGCCAAGCCATCTTAGCATGGCATATAAAAGCCAGTTAAGTTGAATAATTGGAGCCCAGGGGCAGATGTGTACATGTTGGAAGCTCAGACTGTAGGGTGGGCATGAGTGCGTTGTGTTTGTAGCTGCAGGTGTCTGCCACTCAGCTCAGCTCACCACTGCTGCTCCCGTGTAATCCTCCAAGCCCTCACTCTCCATTTTCTCTTCTACAGCGTTAGCAGAGTGGACTTAGATGGGCCATATGCCAGATCCTTTGATTTCTACTTTCCGCCACACGAACTAGACCTTTTACTCTCAATACTCCAGGAAACCAGATGCACTTATTTCTTACTAGTCCATTGGTGATGATCCTTGGCAATATAGTTTAGGTAAGTTGGCATCTAGCATTAAAACCTGTATTCCTCAAACTGAACTAATTTCTTGGCATAGTAAGTGTTCAATAAATGCTACCTACTTGCCATTATAGTGCTGATTTTTTTTCTTAAAGCAAAGAAAACCTCTTCTATCTTATGCCTAACTTTCCACACTGAAAATTTCCAAAATGTCAGTTGGGATGGGAGGGGAAAGTAGGTTACTTTTCCACTAATGACAAGTTACCATTTAAATATGCAGATAGAGGGGGTATCTAAGGCAGTATGCAATTAGAACTGGAGACAAGGTAAAGGAAAAGAGAAATTCACATCTTTGGATACTACATTGCTGTGGAAGAGAAGGGGATAAAATCTGATTAATATAGGAAGCAAGGTCCAAATGAGTTCATTCATAAAAGTAGACCAAGGGTGGCAGCCGGGTGGGGGAGGTACAGGAGTAGCTTGTGTAGGTAGAAAAGGAGTTCCGTGGCCAAAGCCCACTGTGGCTATGAACACTTAAGATTAATATTAATTGCTACTCACACTTTCAAGACAAACTTCCAGATCTTTTGTAAGTACCTATTTCAGCATGTAACTTTCTTACGGAAACAATTCCCATTTACACCTTATTTCTCAACACTGAGTTCTGGTCTCTCCACCTTCACTTTCCAGCCACTCTCCACCCCACACACCTCGGATCTCCATGGACTAGTTAGACTGGACTCGCCCCTTTCTTTCACCCCAGGTGCCTGCTAATTCCTGCTTTCGAGCCTTTTCTGACATTATTCACACTGTCCTTGATCATGTTCTCTCTCCTTCAGTCTCGAGTTTCGGAATCAGACCGGTTTCCCTCTCTGCTATTGCACTGTTTAGCTAGACTGATGCCTGTCTTCTGGTTCTTGTGATCACTATTCTCCAGTGATCACTTAGATTCTCTCTAAAAGTTTCATGCTTTTAAGATCATTTTAGTCTCTAGCCCTAGGGTGAACCTTTGAGGTAAAGAATTCTGACATAGTATTCCTCTCAACACTTTCATTTCCAGTTTTTGTTACCTGCGATCTGCCAGGTTCCTGCTATCTACCATGTTTAAAAATATTAAATGAAAAATCTCATTTTAAATTGCACACCATTTTGAGTAGTGTGGTGAACTCTTGTTCTGCAGAGGACATGGATCGTCCTTTTGTCTGGCTTATTCACGCTGTGTGTGCTACCCCGAGTCAATCAGTAGCTGTCTGGGTCGTCGACTGTGGCGGGCTCGCAGTGCTTGGATTCAAGTAACTCAGTAATTTTTCTTTTCTTTTTTTTTTTTGATGGAGTTTCGCTCTGTCACCCAGGCTGGAGCGCAGTGGCCGGATCTCAGCTCACTGCAAGCTCCACCTCCCGGGTTCACGCCATTCTCCTGCCTCAGCCTCCTGAGTAGCTGGGACTACAGGCGCCACCACCTCGCCCGGCTAGTTTTTTTGTATTTTTTTAGTAGAGACAGGGTTTCACTGTATTAGCCAGGATAGTCTCGATCTCCTGACCTCGTGATCCGCCCATCTCGGCCTCCCAAAGTGCTGGGATTACAGGCTTGAGCCACCACGCCCGGCCAGTAATTTTTCTTAATGGCCTCGAGGAGATGGAGCCGTGAAGTTGGCAACTTAGATGTGCCAAAGAAGAGGCTACGAGGTGCTTACTTTGAGTAAAAAAGGTGAAAGTTCTTGACTTGAGAGAGAAACCCTCATAAGCTGAGTAGTTTGCCAAGTTCTATGTTAAGAAACTTTCTTTGAAATAATGAAGGAAAAAATTGCAAGTTCTGTCACACATCAAACTGAAAGTTATAGCCACAGTATATTGTCTTAGGTGTTCTGCTTTATTGTCAAGCCCTTCCTTACTGTGCCTAATCTATAAATTCAACTAGATCTTAGGTATGTATGCATGGGATAGAATATGGTGTATGTATAGGGCTCAGTGCTGTCTGCAGTTCCAGACATCCACGGGGGGGGGGTCTTAAATTATCTCCCACGGATAAGGGGAATCTGTACCTCTGTCCACTACTCAAGCTGATGTGTAGCATCTTCTGGTTTGCTGTGACTTCATGTATGTAAAACTTCTAAAGTACCCGGCACGTGTAAAGCCCTGTTCTTCATGGTTTGGGGAATATCACAACTTCTGTTTCTCTTCCTCCATCTCTTGGTGCCTTTCACACCATTATCTTCTCTTTATAAGCTTTAATCAAAGCAGAAAGATCCCAGTATACTATCCTTGGCCCCCTTTTTCTCATTCAGTGACAAATGATGACTCTTGGAGCTGGAGCTATGTGGCACTTTGGATTAGTAATATGTTGGTGACATGCCATTCTTTTACTGAAAGAACACTGAGGTCTGGAGAAGTAACTTTATGCGTGTCATCCCCGGAGCAATTTGATGGCTGAGTAAAGCACAACGGCATTAGCTGTTGTGGCTAAACACCTTTTAAAAAGGCTCTGACACATTTTCATTTTTAGAAATTCCCACTTTAGACTTAAAATGATTTGCTTTTATGAGGATTTTTATGATACATTAATCGAACTTAGCTATATATCCCTTAAGAATATTGTCAGTTGCTGTTAATCTTAGCTCACACAGTACTAGGTGAGAGTCTTGAACACGGAATGTGTTTGCACTTGAGGCGTTCTGTCTCCAAGGATGGAATGGAAAACCCCTCCCTTTAAAGCTCTGCAGGTAAATTGTGTCAAGTGGAGAAGGTCAGTTCTGGTTAGCAGCTCGATTGCCACAGAAGGGACACTGGCTGATTCTTCTCATAGCTCTTGTCATGCTGAATTCCCGGAAAGGGGTGTCAATGAATTGCACGAAGCTCTTCCTGGTAGAATAACATCTGACCTCCCTTGGAGATCTCTTCATACAATTTTCAGTGAGTCACCAATTGTGCTTGATTTCTATGGCTTCTCCCAGAACAACCCCAGGACTGTTGTCCTGAAACATCCAGCTTTGATCGCCTGGCGCCCTGCAGGGAGATTCTCCTCATTCTCTTTCCCGCTTCTCGCCATGTGGCTGACCACAGGTAGAATAAATGCCTCTTGGTGAGCTCACTCATCCCTTACCCGTCAGCCCCAAGTGTGCAGATAACAGACGCAGAGCTCCTGTGCACGGTGTCCTCCACCTCTGGGCTTGATCTTCCCACCCTCCCATTCCTGCCAGATAATTATGCTGCAACACTGGGTGATGTTATAACTGGTCCCTGGGGGTCAGGGGTTCTGGGTTAGGTTCTAACCTGCACGGGGGGACAAAGCATTCCCCGCCTTGAATAGCAGAAAGGCCTGAAGCTTCGATCATGGAAATTAAAGCTTTTTCTTTGTCTCCCTCCTTTTTCAAAAGCTTTTTTTTAAAAAGACTAGTTGATACAAGAAAACCTAAAGGTCTTAGAGTGGAGAATGATGATAGTGGAGGAAAGATGACCTGATAGGGAATGGGATCGAGGATCTTGTGTGTGTGAATAAGCTGAACCACACATCATGTTCGTAGCGTCAACTCTAATGTTAACATTTAGATGCCCGGAACTGATGTAAACAGAAGTAACTGATAACATTTTGTCCATAATGCAGATATTTTCTCTGCCTACTTGCAATGCCCAGTATCCTGTGGAATGATATTGGGCTCGCATTTGAACATGTCACATTTGGTTCTCAATATTGGCTTCATTGAAATGGGTGAATTGCTTGTTTGTGCCGAGCAGTGTAGTGTTCTGCTCTTCAGCGGGGCCTGCTCCCTGCTCACATGCCCACACACTCACAGATGCGCACACCACACATACCATGCTCACATATGAACACACAACACACACACTCTAATATTTTTTTAAACATGGTCTCAGATATATAAAAAAAGGAGGTGGCTAAAATATCTTTCCTGTTTCAACATTTTTTACTCTCCTGGGATCTACAATAAGATCTAGGAGTTGAAAATGTTTTATTCCTTTATCATAGACATTTGAGGCAATAGTGTTTTGCCTCCTCTTTGAATACCTTGTGAAGTGTAGTCTGATTATTTACATGAAACGAAATGCCCTGGCTCATGTTCTGATTCAAAAGTATTTTCTTAAGTCACTTTCATTTGTCTCATTCTTGCCTATTTCAGTTTCTCAAAGTATATTTTTAAAAAGCTGATTGTAAGCTAACACTAGAGTAACTAATGTATAATACCCATAATGCATTTAAGTGAAACAATATATGTGGGTCAAGATAAACTTGTCTGCCAGATTAATACTTTTCCAACAAGCTGTTGCAAAAGCCACTGTAAATGGAATTTTATATTTAAATAGTCTCTTGACCCATGACTCAAAGCTGTGGCTATCACAAGAAAATCTTATACCTATTAGAGAAGGCAAAAGTAGCTGACTCTTATCAAACTGACAGGCGTTAATATTTGATGCTCATATATTTTTTTCTCCTCAACCAAGGTGTGATTGAAGTTTCAGCACAGACCAACACAAAAATTGCTTCTCTTTCTCTTTGGAAGTTTACTCATCTTGTAGGTCTATTACTCACATCTCCATCTTTGAGCACTAAGAAGGAAAACTGTCTACTGTTCCTATTGTTTCGCTTCAACGTAAGGGGAGTTTATTCCTTCTTGATGCTTCAGAGACTGTAAATTTGACTATTCTGGAACCAAAAGATTCAGATATATTTGTAGTATTGGTGGTCAAAACGTTTTACAGAAACGTTTCTTCAGTAATCCTGTCACTAAAATGAGAAGAGGTACAGCATAATCTAAAAGGAACAATTCATCCCTCAATATCCCTGAACATATCAAAAGAACCACACATTCACGTTACTCAAAGCATGAGAATTCATTCCATTTAGTTCAAGGAATGCTTGATACTGCTGTCTTTCTTCCGAGTTCAGAAATGTCTTCACCATCTATAGATTCTTGTGTGTTGTTTTTTGAGACGAAGTCTCGCTCTTGTCCACAGGCTGGAGTGCAATGGCACGATCTAGGCTCACTGCAACCTCCGCCTCCCCCGCCTCCCAGGTGCAACCGATTCTCCTTCCTCAGCCTCCTGAGTAGCTGGGATTTTACAGGCACCTGCCACCAAGCCCGACTAACTTTTGTATTTTTAGTAGAGATGAGGTTTCACCATGTTGGCCAGGCTGGTCTCGAAGTCCTGACCTCAGGTGATCTGCCTGCTTCGGCCTCCCAAAGTGCTGGGACTACAGGCGTAAGCCACTGCAACTGACTAGTTATTTTTAGAGACATGAAGGATCAGCAAAATGGTAGAGAAATTGGAGGAAAAAATCCAACTAGCAGTGGATTCCTAGGATGATATAACACTAGGACATGTTAAGAATGCCACTCTGTCAGAGTTGGCTAAACAATAGAGAAGATTAAGTCATCGAGTGATATGATGCAGTATCTAGTCATAAAATTTTAGCAGAATTCATTGTCAATCAGAAAGACCACCATAAGGAAACTAAAGCCCTGCTCTGAAGCAGTTTGTGGTGGTCCGTCCAGATTTATGATCCCCAAATTAGTCTGTGAGAATAGACACAAGGTCTTGCAGCAATCCATGACTAAAACATGAACTCCCTTTGCAGGACAAAAGTCTAACCACAAGACAGTGGCTCCTGACCTCAAATGAGGTCATCTGTACTGCTTTGAGGTTGCAGACTTTCGTAAAGCTGTTTAGGAACAGCAGCCAAAAAAGTCAGTTATCTATTTTCTACCAATTTCGTAAGTCACAAATTAGATATCTGTGTATGATCTTAATACAATCATCTTAATGGAGATAGAGAGCAATTTAAACCCAAACCATGTATTGCAAGGCGAAATGGGAAATAAGGCACAGTAACCACCAGAAAACTTTCAATCTAAAGTGATAAGATTATAAAATGTATTCAGAAGATAGTTCAAAATAAAAAGCCAATTCTAAACCAGGTACAGTATGAATTATTACATTTATATCTCACATCCATCCTGTAGAGTATAGAACCAGGATGAGCTTTCACAGTTGATGAAATTGAGTTAGTTGAGATTTTCTGTCAATATCATACAGATCATTAACACTGAAACTGGGATTTCAAATGATCCTGAAGTAGGTGATCTTTGCTTTATCACACGCTGCTGACATCCTATTCCTGGTGGGCTCTTCCTACATGTCAGGTCGTTAAATAAGCTGCCGGATTTCTGCCTCCACAGCCCACGGAGCTCTCATGGACCATGGGCATGGAGGGCCTTCTCCAGAACTCCACTAACTTCGTCCTCACAGGCCTCATCACCCATCCTGCCTTTCCCGGGCTTCTCTTTGCAATAGTCTTCTCCATCTTTGTGGTGGCCATAACAGCCAACGTGCTCATGATTCTGCTCATCCATGTGGACTCCCGCCTCCACACTCCCATGTACTTCTTGCTCAGCCAGCTCTCCATCATGGACACCATCTACATCTGTATCACGGTCCCCAAGATGCTCCAGGACCTCCTGTCCAAGGACAAGACCATTTCCTTCCTGGGCTGCGCACTTCAGATCTTCCTCTACCTGACCCTGATTGGAGGGGAATTCTTCCTGCTGGGTCTCATGGCCTATGACCGGTACGTGGCTGTGTGCGACCCTCTCCGGTACCCTCTCCTCATGAACCGCAGGCTCTGCTTATTCATGGTGCTCGGCTCCTGGGCGGGCGGCTCCTTGGATGGGTTCATGCTGACTCCTGTCACTATGAGGTTCCCCTTCTGTAGCTCCCGAGAGATCAATCACTTTTTCTGTGAGATCCCAGCCGTGCTGAGGTTGTCGTGCACAGACACGTCGCTCTACGAGACCCTGATGTATGCCTGCTGCGTGCTGATGCTGCTCCCTCCTCTGTCCGTCATCTCCGTGTCCTACACGCGCATCCTCCTGACTGTCCACCGGATGAACTCTGCTGAGGGCCGGCGCAAAGCCTTTGCTACGTGTTCCTCCCACGTCACGGTGGTGAGCATGTTCTACGGGGCGGCCTTCTACACCAACGTGCTGCCCCACTCCTACCACACCCCGGAGAGGGACAAAGTGGTGTCCGCCTTCTACACCATCCTCACCCCCATGCTCAACCCACTCATCTACAGCTTGAGGAATCAAGAGGTGGCCGCAGCTCTAAGGAAAGTGCTGGGGAGATGTGGCTCCTCCCAGAGCATCAGGGTGGGGACTGTGATCAGGAAGGATTAGCGGGGACTCTGCAAACATCTGCGGTGCTGCGGCCAATGACGCAGCTATTCTAGAAAATACGGTATTGGTTCTGAAGCTCAGGGTGGCGACTGTGACCAGAAAGGACTAGCGGGGACTCCCAGGGCATCAGGGTGGCGACTGTGACCAGGAAGGACTAGCGGGGACTCCCAGGGCATCAGGGTGGCGACTGTGACCAGGAAGGACTAGTGGGGACTCTGCAAACATCCGCAGTGCTGCAACCTTAACGCAGCTATTCCAGAAAATACGGTATTGCCTCTGAAGCATGTTCAGTGTCACTTTTAGCTAATTCAAAATTAACAGGCAAAATCATCCTGTTGCGATGATTACTTGGCAACAATAGCAAAGCTGGGGAGCATCTCTGCATTAGCCAACTTGTTCAACTGGATTCACCAAGAAACCTTTCCAGAGGGGATTCTCAGGCAGGCAGCCCTAGAAACCGTTCCTGGCAAGCCCAGCTGCCCTCTGGAGTGCCCGTGTTAACCTGTGATCATGATCCTTCTGTCTGCATTGCTGACCAACCTCTGAATGGAAATCGGAGCATTTGCCACCTCCTTGATTTACTTTCAAACATTCAATACAAGTAAAATATTTTCCAGTGCTAAACGTGTAGCAGTTTTATTTAGAAAACTTTTAGGAAGGTGATACTATTGTATTTTGGTTCTGGATTCTTACATTTTATGAATGCTCTTATTTCAGAGGTAAGTGATAAAACAAATACTTGCCCTGCATTTATTCCCATGGAGTCCAATATATTCCTGGAAATAAAGATTGATTCATTGATTGAAAATTGACTCTGCCATTAACATTGTTACACGGCCAAAAACCTACAAAACGGCCATTTACACTTAAATGGTAATAGATAAAATGTCTTGGTTTATTCATTCTACACTTAGTTCCCTTGGAATAAGTTGCTCAATTTTCTTATTCTCAACATCTTCACTGATATGCTAAAGACAAGTATTTCTGTAGTGAGTTGGAGTTAGGTGTGGTGCTTTGATAGAGTGTGACTTTGGTGGAATAAATAACTAAGCCAAGACTGCACTCACCCCACCATTTAACTTTAGCTGCTTCTGTGTGTAAGGTCCTGAAATAGGAGAAATAAAAAATATTGAGGGATCTGGTGTTTATTTTCTTTTGATACAAGGTTTAGCAAAACACTGGACAAAGTGGTTACACAGTTGACGAAGACTAAGCAAAGGTTCCTCAGTCTTATGTTCTAGTGTCAACACAGAAGGAACAATGTTTCCTCCATCGTTGATGTAGATAAAGAATATTCCCTTCAACATGCTAATCCCTAGGTTTTTTATTCAGAAGGTTCCTAATAATTTGATCTTGACCCTGAAATCAAACACTTGGAAAAGAGACGGAAGAATGTCCTGGAGGGATCAAGTGAAGAAACGGACCAGGATTCATCTATGAAATAACCTCGGTGTTGTTTCAATTCAGCTCCATTCAAATGTAATTCCTTTGTATCTGCACTAGTGCCCTCCCCCTTCTCCATTCTCCTGCCTTGGGTAGCACCCCTTGGTCTTTCTTCCCTCTACAACACTCCTCCAATTCACACTGCCTCTGCCCTATCCTGGGACATGTGTTTTTTCCCATTTCCTCAGTTGCTATATATTAAAAAATAGGACTTTTGTTCTTATATTTCCAAGATTAATTCTCTGTACATTTAACTAGAATATTTAACTCTAACACTGACAGACATTTCAAAAGCATCCCTGAAGCAATAAGTGGAGTGCGTCTTGACAAGTTTCTAGGGATATCATCGACTTTTAGTGATCGGGACGTGGAAGGAGGTGACTTATTCAATGTTTAAGAGTCTATTCAAGCAATTCCATGGTGGTTACATCAACATGTTCTTTTCCTGGTGATTTATCAATCTTTCCACTGTTGACGTGTGCACTTTTCTGTTGTAGGCTCTAATACAACTTAAAAAATTTTCTCATTTTACACATGGTGGGTACCCACTCTCCTCACACATACAACTAGTCCCACTGTAAAAGGGAGTGACCAAGGATTTTTCCCCAGTCATCTCACCAAATTATAAGGTAATTTGTGGTCACCAGATTTGCTTATTAAAATATATGAATTATTTTAATATTTAGTAACATACATAATTTAGTAACTTAATATTATCAGCTGTATACCTGAAACATGGCATGCACTAATCCAAGTAATGAAAACATAGACTGTCCCCAGGACTGTCCCTAGTGTTGAAAACATTTAACTACATTAGTCTCATTTTTGATTCTGATGTTCACAGCAAATTATTGCCCCATTCAAGCAAGAGGCAGGTGCGGCTTCATAACCACGTCTTCTAACCTCTGGTCTGGTGTTTTGTGCCAAGCCACGATACTGATAATTTACAAAGGGGAGAAGCAGCCGGGCACGGTGGCTCACGCCTGTAATCCCAGCATTTTAGGTGGCTGAGGCAGGTGGATCACTTGAGGCCAGGAGTTTGAGACCAGCCTGGCCAACATGGCGAAACCCTGTCTCTACTAAAAATACAAAAAATTGGCGTGGTTGGCACATGCCTGTAATCCCACCTACTTGGTCAGCTGAGGCAGGAGAATGGCTTGAACTCAGAGTGGAGGCTACAATGGGCCGAGATCGTGCCACTGCACTCCGGCCTTGGCAACAGCAAGGCTGTCTCAAAAACACAAAGGGGAGAAGCACATGGCACGATGTGCAGCTGCCAGCTTAACCCTCATAATGACCTGGGGACAAAGGTCCCTTCAGAGCAACATGCCGATGAAAGCCATGTTCATTTGCTGTTGAAGGCCAGTTAGGCTGGTCTAGCGAGGAGCCGATGACCCACGTCGAGGGGTAATCGGATTCCCTGTGGGGTCTTTCTGCAGGTGAGGGATATGGATATAAAGCTAACTGAACGCTTGCTTCTACAGACTTGTTTTATTTTATACAGCAAGCTTCTATTTATGAAATATAAAATTGTAATAGAAGAAAGCATACAGTCTACTTATTAAATATCTTATTTAACTGCTTTATTCAATACTCAGGAAGATATCAGGCAAAAAGGAATGATCAGAGAAACTGAAGATAATTAGATAACTAATATGCTAAATATTTAGCATAAAGAATGCAGACCTCTGTATCCACAAAAATTAAAAACTGAAAACTGAAAAAATTAAAGTGACAGAACATCCCTGTCAAGTTAAACTGACTTTAAATGAAGTCTGAGAATTTGATCAAAACGTCAGGTCCTGACTCTACAAAGTTCCATACATGAAACAATTGTATTAATAGATAATCATATGGCATTGATAGATTATTTAGTTAAAACAATAGGCTGATTCTTACACAAATGATAAAAGCCAGATGCATTTTTAAGCTTTTTTCCAGTTGGATTGTATCGAGGGTAGATTTCTTAAACCTGGGTAACTCCCGTGACCGTGCACACACTTTCCAGCATTTCACTGTATGCTTCCTTCTAAATCCCAGGTCGTCAAAGGCCAAGAAAACATTTAGCTTGTTTTGACTACATTCCTTTGGTTTATACAACTAGTTAAGAATATAAAATGGTAAATACCTGTAGCTTCAACTCTGGTTATTTCACATTGTATTTTTATGAGCACTTTAAGCTGCTTTGGTTTTACTAAATCATCACAAACCTAAAAAAAAGGATCTTTATCTTGTGATGCATCCCAAGGACCTAAAAACTTTCCTGATGGAGAATCTGCCCTTAATAAATGAGTGTAAGAAACGAATGAAAACTATTTCACAAATTTGCCCTTAATAAATACGAGTGTAAGAAATGAAAAGTATTTCACTTTAGAAGGTGTAGTTACCCCAATTGTACAAACTCTAGTTTCTAAAAATCCTTAAAAAAAGGGCATCTCAGGTTTGGAGAGATGTCGTAGAAACTGGAGATTAACAAAGTTAGATGACTTGTACAGGCTCACATAGAACTGCATGTTGGGGTGATGCTAGAAGCAAAAAAAAAAAAACCCCAAAACTGTACTTATTTCTGGCTTCACTAAGTGATTTCTAACTATTTTAAAAATGCAGCTTATGTAAAAAGTCATTGGCTTTTGCTAGATTCTTCATATATTCTTTCTTTGAAGCAAACAAGGAGGTAAGTTCCATTAGGGGCATTTGCTGAAGGGTAGAAGCAGAAAACTCATGACTGAATTTAATTGCAAGGTTTAGGATTACATGTGTCAGCTGATGTCATCAAAATTCTTTCCCTGGAATTCTATTGCTTAATTGAAATGATCAGTGATGTTAAATATTCCATAAACTTGGAAAAATTAAAATCAGAAACATGTATGGAACATAGTTAAAACCATATCTTTGGGCCTGAGCTTCTGAATATGAAGGTTTAATGAAAACTGCTTTGCTGTCTCCCTCAAAGGGAGAAAGGATATAATTTTGGCCCAAGGCAGGGATGCTCGCAAGTAATGGCTTTGTGTAATTTGAGAGACTAAAAATCTTTGGATTATTTCTAAGGACAAGATTATAATACATACTGTGTATGTATTAAGGGATTTCAGTTCAAAGGTAGAGAGTAGAGTTGTAAGGAGATTACATACATATATATACACACATACACACATGCATATGTATATTATAGAGGTGGAAAATATGCCACCTTTTCACTTCAGAATACAATGAACCTGCTATATGGTGATGAATGTAGATCACCTTACATTCCAGTGGTCACTTAGAACTCTTATGTACTAAAACCTAAATTATCTAGTATGTGTCCAGTTGGCAGATGCTTAGGTTACTTCCACTTTCTTATTGCAAAAATAACACCAGAATGGGTTTTTTTTAAAAAAGTTGCCCACTCATCTGATTATTTCAATACTACACTTTCCTAGAAGGGAAGCGTGTACATATTTTTTAAACTCCTGGCATTTAGTGCTCTCTAACCAGAAAACCCATTCTAATTCCCACCAGCAGTTTGAGGTTCCCCCCTTTATCAACATTGATACAACCCAGCTCTCATGTAGAAGTTCGTTGAATAAGATTGACAAACTATTTCTGCACTGTGGCCCTTCTACATTGCTATTTGAGGAAGCTTCATGGCTTTCACTAAAAAAAAATTTGAGATTTTTTTTCATGGACCCCAATATAAAGCCAGACACCTGCAGGCAGGCGTGTAATGACTGAGAATTGCCCAGGAGTTAGGGAGAATTTAGAGTTTCTGGAAAATTAACTTCATTTTGTCACTTGATTACTTTGACAACTTGTGATCAGAAATTCAAATTTCCCTTGAGTGTGTTTATGGCCTTGTACGCTGTATTCGTTTAACTTCTCTTAAGTGATGCTCAAAGGGATATTATCTTTGGGGAGTAGCTAAGGCAGAGAGCATGAAAAACAAAAGCTGAGTCCTTGGGCCTGGGTCCAGCTCTCCCACCTGACTTCCGAGCCTCAGTTTTACCAGCTGTGAGATGGGGATAAGTCCAGTGATGGACCCGTGGAGGTGCTGTGAGGAGCAGGTGGAAACATTGCCGTTTATTGTTGCAACACGTCTCAATTTTGTCTAAAAACTAAGAAAATCATTTATTGGCGTAGAAGTTCCCTATGGCTGTGGTACCAAATGACCAAGTTTTATAATATCACAGCCTGGAGGTCAGAAGTTGGAAGCTGGTCTCACTGCATTGAAATCACGATGTTGGGAAGGGACTACCTTTTCCACGAGGTTGTAAGAGAGTCTTATTTCCTAGCCCTCTCCAGTTTCCAGAGACCGCCTACATTCCTTGGCTTGGGGTCCCCTCTATCGTCAAACCCGGAGACCGACTGAGTCCCCCCGACCCGACCTGTTTTCATGTCACGTCTGACTCTCCTGCCTCGTGTCTCCCGTGTAAGGCCTTGGTGTTTACATTGAGTCCAACAGCAGAATTCAGAACAATCTCATCTCAGAATTCTTCATCACACCTGCAAAGTCTTTGCCACTTAAGACGGCATATTCTTTGGTTCCAGACGTTAGCACACGAGGACCTTTGCTGAAGGCGGAAGATTATTCTGCCCATATGGTTACATTTAACATTAAACTAAGGATTACAGCATCATTCAATTTAAGCAGCAAATTAAACCCTATGGCATTATTTAAGACAACTATTCTAATCATAAAAGGCAGATGGAATTCTACAACAAATCATACACAACGATTTTCTTTTTGTCTGTTTAACGTAAGGTGAATTCTAACTATTATCATCTACAGTACAATCTCTGGATGTGTAATAACACTTGAAGCCAAAGTTATTTCAACCTATTGGTACCTACGTGAGTGAAGACCTGTCATAGCAAGGACAGATTCAGAAGGCAGAGGAAGTGGGGAGTAGTTCCTCCTTTTTTGTGAATTATGCTGACATCTTAGTTACTCTAGGTATATTTATTTTAAACCACAGCATAATTCTCAAATTTTCTAATTTAGAAGTAAAAGTTATATTGCTGTCTGATCTTAGAAACTCTTGATTTCTTTGTTTCCTAGAATGAAGTTTCTTATCAAATGTGGGTGGATCCCATATTTTTGTCAACTTTGTTTTGCATTGAAGATAAACACCAAGTGCCTGGCATGAAAATTATTTCTTCAGCACATTTTATAAAATCGGGGTGTTTTGAAGGAATTCTGGAGATATATCTTAAAAAGCATAAAAATAATTTGCATTTTTTGCTGGCTGCATGTGTTTAAAAACGATTTATTCAACCAAAATTTACAATGTGCCAGTTGTTTCTTTAGATGGTGAGAGTTCAGTTAACAAAATCGGCAACACCCCTTATTCACATGAAGTTTACTTTCCAGCTTGAGATAAACACAAAACACAGCATAGTGTGTCAGACGGTGTGAAGAAAAGTGAAGAAAAAGTCATAGGACCAGAATAGGCCCCTCTGAGCAGGTGGCTTTTGAGCAAAGCCCCGAAGGACAGGAGGGGATGGCCTTGTACGGATGGAGGAGGAGCCCAGGCAGGGCAGCAGCAGACGCAAAGGCCTGGGCTCGGGGCTCTTGCAAAGTGGGGACAGAGGACAAACAAGGAAGCGACCGTCGCTGCAGCCTGGGGACAAACAGGCTGGAGTCGGCAGGAGATGATTTCAGAGGATGAAACGTTCAGAACGTGACCGGCCTTAACGCATGATGTGAAGCACAACGGCAGGGTTTCAAGCGGAAAGTGGCGTGGAGTGATGCGGGTCCCACTGTGACTGGTGGCGTGATGCGGGTCCCACTGTGACTCTGGTGGCGTGATGCGGGGTCCCACTGTGACTCTGGTGGCGTGATGCGGGGTCCCACTGTGACTCTGGTGGCATGATGCGGGTCCCACTGTGACTCT